AGAAACAATTCTTAAACCAGACACGCAACACAACCACTTGGTATCCCTTTAGAAACACGGATTCCTTATGCAAGCCCTGGTAATTCTTAATCAGATGGTGTGGGATATGACCACGAAGCCAGTATTTTTCAAAAAGTAACATTAAGAGATAACATCTATCAGACAGAGTATCTGATCTTAAAGATTATCAGAGAAACAAAACAAATGCATAAATTATCTTATAATATGAGAAATGCCATTAAAGTTACATAGAAAATTTCAATGCATTTTAAGACTATGAATATGGTACACTGCTTCTACTTTGGAAGAAATTACATATAATCACTTGATTAAAATGTGCTTCTCATTTAATATTTAAAAATGAAACAATCATTAATATAGTCATGAAAAGTTCTTACCTAAATTGGCATACATTACAAACAAATTAAAATATTGTTGTAAATGACGCCCATGCTCTGAAACTTCCCTTCTCAAGAGATTTAGTGTGGCTCTTAGTAAGTGGTCACTCAAGCTCAAGTTATCACATGCCTGTGAAAAATCAAATATTATTTTATCGGCATCATATACACAGCAAATATTTCATAAAGAAAATCACTAAATACACTTGCTCTTTGAGAGAGATAATGAAGAGCTCGGGTACTTCATTGTAGATCTTGTATGCTGCTGTAATTAAAACAAACAAACAAACAAAAAACCCCAAAACCCAAAAACTTCAATAAAAGAATTTAGGTGGATTATTTATTTACATTACCAGGAATTTCATGTTACAGTGTTTCACTAAAAAAGCTTTTAACTTAGCCATTATAAAAGTAAATCTAAAAAATGTAAAAACTTAAGGATTTACTAAATAACTAAATAATTGAATACACAAAAGGAATTTCTATTTTTTTCAGAATCAGCAATCACTACCACCATGAAATAACTTAAACAACTTACAAGTGTCATAATGTATGTCTGCATTTGTGTACAGCAAATACATCAAAGAGAGGCACATAAATTTGCTGATTTGAATTTGCCAAAAACAGAATTTACTCCCAAGTATTTAATGACAAAAAAAAAAAAAAAAAAAAAAAAAAAGCCATGCAATTACCTGTCTAGAAGATCCTGGAGATGCAAAAGGAGAAGGACAAGACCCATCTTGCAAAGAAAAGTGTGCAATAAACACTATAAGTTTTGCAAACGCACCCCTCACTTCTGCACTTGGGCACTCCAGAAGATACTCAGAGAAGCGATTTGAAACATTGAAAAGAACATTATGAGCAAACCAAAAACGTACATTCTTGCTGTGACGGAGGAGAATGCATAGCGCATCATACCTAAAACAGAAACATCTATGAATGTAAAATTTTACTAATATGTTTATTTTGCTTGCTATGGTGAAGAAACAGGTTTTTATAAATGAAACAATAATCAAAGATGTGCTCTGCAATTAATGGTCAGTTGGTTTTGGTAGAAATAACAGATTAATAAAGTTTTGTAACTTTAGTCCCACAGAGTCAAAAAAGTGAATAAAATTCAAAATGTGTGTAACTCTCTGCAAATCCATGATCAAACTCTCCCTAGCGCCATAACATTTATTTAACATCTTTCAATATGAACCATGCTGAGTTGTTAAATCAAGGTATTATGATGTACTTCATACTTAACAGTAATTTAAAACTACAGCCATTTTAAAATTGTCTTTTTTTATTTTTTAAAGAGAGAAAACTCTCTATTGCCCAAGCTGGAATAAATGCAGTGGTACAATTATAGCTAACTGCAGCTTCAAACTCCTGGGTGCAAATGATCCTTCTGCCTCCGGATGCCAAGTAGCCGGTTCTACGTAAACAGGCCATAGGCCTCGCTAATTATCTAAACAAAATTTTTGGTAGAGATAGGATCTTGCTCTGTTGCCTAGGATGCCCTAAAATTCCAAATCTAACGTGGTCCATCCAGCTCAGCCTCCTAAAGTGCTAGGATTACAGATGTGAGTCACCACACCCAGTTAATTTAAATTTTTGTAGAGATGAGGTTTCACTATGTGGCCCAAGCTGGTCTCAAATTCCTGGCCTCAAGTGATCCTTCCACTCTGGCCTCCCAGAGTGCTGGGATTACAGGTATGAGCCACCACACCTGGCCTAAAAAATCATCAGCCTTTTTTTTTTTGAGATAGAGTCTAACTGCATCCTCTGGCTCTGAGGTTCAAGCAATCCTCCTGCCTCATCCTCCTGAGTAGCTGGGATTACACACAGATGCCATTATGCCCAGCTATTATTTATTTTATTTTATTTTACTTATTTTAGTAGAGATGGGGTTTTAACAAGTTGGTCAGGCTGGTCTTGAACTCCTGACCTCACGGTCCCCCTACCTTGGCCTCCCAAAGTGCTGGGATTATAGGAGTTAGCACCCAGCCAATCTACCTTTTGAATTACAAGTGACAATTTCATCTAGTAAAAATAAAGCTTAATAATTTAATGATGAAATAGGCTAAGATGTGATACAAAGTCACAGGAGTAGGAGCCAATATTTAAATAATTAAAGGCACTTTTATATTAAGCAATTTTAGTAACATTTCCCTCATGATTACTACCAAGATTTTCATTCTGTATTGGAAATTATATTTTCACGGTTAGAAAAAATAAAGCAATATAATAAAAAACAAACAAACTATAAGTACTATATGAATGAAATCCAAAGCCATGTACCAGTCACTGGCAGGACCACGAACTATTTTCTTCGTGTGAAATCCAGTGGTAAAGAGGAATCTAGCAGCAAGCTGAATACTAATCATAGTAATTTCTTCTGCTTCAGGCAACAAATGATCCTGCCCTTTAAATAAAAAGTACATATACAGTTAAAAACATTTTATCTTCAAAGTCTATATTTAAAAACCTCAGCCAGAAGTAACTCTTAGTGATTATCTTACCACTTCATAATCCATATTTCAAACGTTTGAGTAAAAAATAGTAATTACTATAATACATGCTTTTCTATACTTCCATATATTAAGAATCACTATTCAAAGGTACAGATACCCTACATTTTTCATTTTAAAATAAACCAAAAAGGCCAGCATGTAAAATGAGACTAACGATTCTATGAAAAAAAATAAAACTGAAGAAAAAGACTAAACATATTTGATGCCTTGTAAGAAATCCTAGAAGCCAAATAAAAATGAACCTTTATTAGTAAGAAGATACTTCCAAAGCTTACCTGGAGCAAGGTTTAAATAAACACCATTACATGTAAGCAGTTTTTTCACAAACTGAAAATACTCTAAACTATATTGCATTTGGTTATGCATAAATTGCACATTTTGTTTCCGTACACTTCTCTCAATGGCTGGTGACATAATGATTTGATGGGGTCTTGCAATAGTTAGTTCTGATATACATCTTATCATCTCATCATCTTCATCTATTATATCCATTTGTTCATAAAAGAGTATGTAAGCATTCCACCACCTCTTCTGCCGCCTATAAGACATGTGCTTCATCATGTGATCAAATACTTCTCCCATGTACTCTCCACCAAAGCACTGATTTTTCATTTCTTCATCATCATCCATTTTGCATTCTGTTACATCTCCATCATCAAATTTATACCAGTGATCTCTCTCATCATCTTTACCATTCCTTTGAATGATGTAAGAATAATAATGCCCACCGCTTGCTTGACCACTGTGTACAAGCACACCTACAAGCCTGTACTTTGTGCTTCCTGTAGTTTCATTTTCAGGCTGCTCTTTCTGTTTAAGCAACTGATTTTCTGAATTTACATTATCATTCTCCAGCTTTTCAACACCTACTACTGTGTAAGGTCCCATATCCAGCTTTCGAGGAAATTCAAAATAATCATTGAATTTAATTGCACATTCTCTTTCCCAGTCATAGTCAAATCGTTTGAGTTGGATAGCAAGAACTCGAGGCAATTTTTTAATTAGCAGGCGCTTTACTGTGTCAACCTAAAATAAACAGAATATAAATAGATGTTCTTTTGTAGCCAGAACAAAAATTAAAACAAATTAATGTTAAAGTTTATGATCTATTTACATTCATTCATAAACAGATGAGTAAATAACAATAAACTCTAAAAGGATAATTATGGCATAACTGACTTAATCCTTATTTACCAAAGCGAAAAATATATAAATATACCAATCCTTTGGTATCCGTAGGGCATTGGCTCCAGCAACCCCATAAATAGCAAAATCTGTGTCTGCTGAAGTTTCTGATTTAAAATAGTATTTACATATAACTCACAGACACCCTCCTGTATAGTTTGACCTATCATTCTATATAACCTACTTAATACAATGTAAATGCTATGTAGATGGTTATTACACTGTAATGCCTTTTGAATTTATATTACTTTTTATTGGGTATTGCTATTTTTTGTTTTCAAATATTTTTAATACATGTTTAGAGGAATCTGTGTTGCAGAACCTGTACATATGAAAGGTCCCTAATTTCTTGCTAACTGGAAAACACTACTCATATAGACACAATGGCTACGTGATTCCATATGGGCACTATTATTTCACTGCGTTACTCCTTAGATGTTTTCTTTTATGCTAAAGAACAGAATTTCCTGTGAGTTAACTGAAGACATATGATAAGCAATTACAATAGTGGCTAATATTTACATCACTTAAAAACCAGGTAATACACAAAGCGCTACAAACATATTAATGAATTTAATCCTCACTATCTTATAAAAAGTTACTACCTATATATTATTATTTTAAAACATGTGGATTAGGAATAACAGAAAGGGGGAGAAGAAACTGTCCCAGTATCAGAAGTGTGGGTGGCAGGCAGTATGGCTTTATAAACAAAACACAATTTAAATGCTGTGTAAGTTCAAAACAATGAAGGCACCTTTAAGGTGAGGGGTTATCAAAGTCAAGGAAAATATATAACTTAGTTAACATATAGTATCTTCAACGACAGGTTACTATTCCATCCCTCAAACTAAGTGCCAGAGGTTAAAGTAGCTGGCTAGGCCTAGAAAATGAGATGTTTCTGAAAGTACACGTAGTTGTGAAAATCTATGTAACCAAATAAAATTAGCAGAATTCCTTACTTCAAGAGAAAACCAGAATAAGAAAAGAATAACATTTTCTACTATCAACTCTTCGAGATTGAAGCATTCAGTTGCGATTTATTTCAGGGCAGGGATGGAAACAACTTGTGAGATTCTGTGACTTTCAAAATTATTCACCCAATAAAAAACTTTTTTTTCCTAGTCTGTAACTGTATTTTGTCGATATGCTTTTGGTTTAAACCAAGTATCATCTTGGCCACCTCTGCACTACCACTATAACAGCAGAGATGAGGCAGAAGTTAATTTTGAGTATCAGGATAAACAACTCCAATGTCTTCCTATTCTGTTTAATAAAATCATTATTTTTCAAAAGTAAAAAAATATACCTTTTTATCACATTTTTCACAATGATATGCATTTTCACCTTCCAATAAATCTCCTTTGATATACTGTTCCAAAGAATCAAGAAGATTTTGATGATTTCTAATGTCCACATTCAAAGTTGTAAAATATTCTTCACATTCATACCTAAAGGTATTGTTAATAAAACAAATTAAAAGAATGTATTCTATACGTTTAATTTCTTTAGTTTAATCTTTTAGGGACAGGTTCTTGCTCAGGCTAGAGTGCAGTGGTACAATCATAGCTCCCTGTAGCCTTGAACTCCTAGGATTAAGCCAGGGTTCCCAACCAGTGCTAGTCTGTGTCCTGTGAGAAACTGGGCTGCAGAGCAGCCATTGAGTGTTGGGCAAGCTGGCAAAGGTTCATCTGTATTTACACCACTCCCGATGGCTTGCATTACCACCTGAACCCCCTATCCTGTCAGATCAGTGACAGCATTCGATTCTCATAGGAGACAGAACCCTACTGTGAACTGCACACGCTAGTGATCTAGGTTGCACACTTCTTATAGGAATCCAAAGCAGGATAATCTGTCCAGCTAGCTGCAGGAAAACACGGTCAGGGCTCCCACTGATTTTACATTGTGGTAAGTTCTACAATTATTTCATTATATATGGTAATGTAATAATAATAGAAAAAAAAGAGCGCAATAAATGTTAAGACAGTTGAATCATCCTGAAACTATCCCCTCAACCCCAGTCTGTGAAAAAAATTATCTTCCACAAAACTGGTCCCTGGAGCTGAAAGGTTGGGGACTGCTCACTTAAGTGATCCTCCCACCTCAACCTCCCTAGCAGCTAGGCCTGTAAGTGGGTGCCACCACACCCAGGTAATTCTTTCTTGTTTTAGAGATGGGTTCTTGCTATGTTGCCTATGCTGGTTTTTAACTCCTGGAGTCAACTCTTGAGCTCCTTCTGCCTCTTCCTCCACAAGTGCTAGGATTACATGCATGAGTCATTGTGCCCAGCCTGGTTTCTAAATCTTATCCTTCAGAGTGCTGTGGCCCACTCCTATAATCTCAGCACTTTGGCAGGTGGAGGCAGGCGGATCACCAGAAGTCAAGAGTTCATGACCAGCCTGGCCACCCCATCTCTGCTAAAACAAAAGAAAACAGAACATACATACATACACATACATACACACACACACACACACACACAAAATTACATATAAATTATATATATATATAAATTATACACACACACGCATGCACACACACACACACACATATAAATTATATATAATATATCCTGCCACAAATTGCTGAGGCAGGATAGTCACTTGAACCCAAGAGGCAGAGGCTGCAGTGAGACAAGACTGCACCACTGCACTCCAGTGCCTGGGAGACAGCGCAAGACTTCATTTCAAAAGCATAATAATAATAAATAAGTAAACCTTTTCCTTAGTTGTGAACTTGATAAAAAATACATATGCATTATTGAACACATGTCAAGTATATTAATCATACAAAGTTATTAATATTTTATCAGTCACTTACTTTGTACTGAGCACTGTATTAGATACCTTACACCAGATTATAGCCATCTTTACCTTCATAAAAACTGTTAAGAGATACCCACCCACCCCTACTTTAAAGCTTAAGATGATAGGATTGTGTAGGGAAGTCAAAAAAACTAATTTGATACAGTTTATTAGGTGGAATGATGCTTTGAAAATCAGCTTGTTTGGCTTTACAGTACTTCTTAAGTTCTTATGCTCAGTTACACTATGACACATACTATCTATTTAAACAGTAATTCACGCCAAGGTAAAAATAAGAATTAATCAAGTTCTAAAAAAGCTATTCTAAACTATTAATGAACTTAATTTTTAAGTGCCCCTAAATTTCTATCATAGATGCTTTCCTAATTGCATTAAGTTCAAAACTCATCATGCTAAAAATGCCTCGGATGTCTACAAAGCCATAAAAATAAGTAGTCAGGTGTGGTGTGGCATTTCCTTGTAGTGCCACCTACTCAAAAGGCTGAGGTAGGAGAGTCACTTGAGGCCAGGATTTTGAAGCTGTCATGTGCTATGATCACACTTTTGAATAATCACTATATTTCAGTCAGGGGTAGTGAGATCCTGTCTCAAATAAATAAATACATGGAGAAGGGGTAAATAATGCAAGATTGAGTCAGCATCACGGATTATGGAATTTTCTGCAAAAGGAACTTTCAGTTTCTGATGACAAACTCAGAAAATGAATTGGATCAGACATATCAACCATCAAATCCATTCACCTAACCAATAGTCTGAAAACGTCTAAATAGTATCTCACTCTGTTGCCTCGTCTAGAGCACAGTAGTACGATGTCAGTTCACTGCAACCTCTGCCCCCCAGGTTCAAGTGATTCTCCAGAGTAGCTTGGATTACAGGAACCTGCCACCAGGCCCAGCTAATTATTTTGTATTTTTAGTAGAGATGTGGTTTTACCATGGTCTCAAGCTCCTGACATCAAGTGTTCAGCCACTGTTGGCATCCGAAAGTGGTGGGATTATAGGTGTGAGCCACCACCCCTGACAAGTTTTTCACAGACGAAAACTTTTGATTTAGTCAGGAAAAACACGATGGTCACAAAAACAAAATTATATTTATAAATGACTTATGCAAGTTGCTTTGTGATCAGCAATCACCCTATAGAAGAGAAAATGGCTATTTTAGAGAATAAAATAATTAAAAGAGATTACAGTTGTGAGCAGTATCTTTTAATTATAAGATATTTAAATTATAAGATACAATTTAAATATAAATTTAAATTTCCCTGTAGTGCCAGCTACTATAATTTAAATTTATATTTAATTATAATATAATTAACAGATACGAAAAGCTTGAGCCTGGAGTTTGAGACCAGCCTGGGAAATATGATGAAACCCCATCTCTACAAGAAATACAAAGTTTAGCTGGGTATTATGGCATGTGACTATAGTTGTAGCTACTTGGGAGGCTGAGGTGAGAGGACTGCTTGAGCTAACCAGGTTGAAGCTGCAGTGAGCTATGATTGTGCCACTGCAACTCCAACCTAGGTAACAGAATGAGACTCTATCTTAAACAAAACAAAACAAAATACCCTCAATGCCTTATGATATAAAAGTCTTGGGATGCTAATAACAAGTTTAGTTGGAATATATATTTTATGCTATAGATATTTTTACTGTTGCCTATCTTGTCAAATCTGCTAAGTGGTTTGATGTGCAAGCATCATGTAATACTTCTCAAAAATAGTAAGAATTGATAGTACTTTAAAAGGCATTTAAATGTTATTTCCTTGGGAAGATATGTTCAAAACCCCCAGGAGATAGCTAAAAACTTAGATAACATTGAACTCTATACTGCATATATATTATGTTTTCTCTTGTACATACATACTTAAATTTAATTAGGTTTAACTTATAAATGAAGCACAAGAATAGAATAGCAGCTGCTCTTTACCTTTTCTCTGGCATATCTGAATTACTAGAATATTACTAGGTAAGATAAGAGGTATTTGAACATAACTAGTGTGATCTTTGACAGTCAATCACATCCTGAGGACAAAGCAGAACAGCCCAAAATTTTAAATGGGGCACAATTTAAAACTTCCAAATAGTTTATTTCTGCAATCTTCCACTTAATATTTTTGAACCATGATGTGGAAAGTGAAAACAACTTGTCTTGCCAATTACCTTTGGAAGTTACATTTAAATATTGATTGCTAGCAATCAATAGAAAATGTCTGTTTAAGCAATAGAAATAGAAAATGTCTATTTAAGCAATTAACTGCAGATTTATGGAAAATGCCATTTTAAGTCACAGGGTAAGATAAAGCAAACATGAATGAATGAGGAAGTAATAAAGTACTAACCAAATGCTATTGGGAAGAAAAAAATCAGAATAGTGTAAAATGCATATAAATGTAATTCATTTGGTACACTCTGCTTTTATGTAAGTACTAATGAAAGTTTTATTTACATTATTAGAAAAAAACTAACATGAAGGACACATTAAAAACATAATACTTACCTATGTGGGCAGCCTTGGCAGATCTTCTGATCAGCAAAGGAACCCCCTAGGACTTTACTTAGCATAGCTGGATGTCCTAAAGCTTTTAAAGCTTCATCTAGACTATCCACCAAAGAATTAAAAAACTCTAAGGCATCATGTTGTTCACGGAGATTAACAGGCTCACCCCAAAGCCTAAGAAAAAAATGATATAAAATAAGTAACATAATACATATCTAGAATATCCCTATTTTATAACAACAAAAATAACAATGACAGAAATATAAACTGAGATTTTATGCCACATAGAAAGAAGAAATGTACATTATGTCTGCAGAGGCAATGGTAATGGAAGTGCTTACAGTAAAAATGATACTACAGTGTCAAAAAGTTACAAATAACTGGTGTGACTAAGCTGGATAGCAGGCTTTAGAATAACGTTGGCTTTATAAAACATAGTATATTCAAGCACTTTCAATTCAAATAAAAATCACATTTACATGACAGAGAATCTAATGCTTATGTGGATGCTATAAATGCTACCTTAAAACTTTATTCTGTTTATTTTTGGTGATATATTGAAAAGATTCTACCACTTAGATACCACTGCTTATCAAAGTGAATTTTCCAAGTGAAAAGAGAAAAGTTTGCCCTGTTCTACAGTAAACATATTTTCAGTAAAAAAACAGGCATGAAAATAAGATCAACCAATTCTAAGAAAATATCAATTGTGAGTATACAAAATGATAAGTAATGCTGCTGAAACAGGGTATGTTAGAAACTACCAAGAACATTTAACAGTATTTTCACAATAACCATCAGAAATACTACTTCAGCAAAAGAGATGGCAATATGTTGAACTTGCTAAGGTGGTAAACTGTTTTTTGGCGGTAAACTTTCACAATTTAAATGTTATAAATTTTAAAATAAATTTTAAATACTAATACATACAATAAAAAGTATTCTTTTGGAGCCATAGGATGTGAGCTTTACAAAAAGCAGGCAGTGGTATAACTGCCACCACAATTGATATATCAAACAATATCTTAAGTACCTTCTAAAATTTCCTAAGAGTAGCATTTTGTAAGCCAAATGACTCTCCTACTATTAATTCCTGGAAACTGCTGATTTGTTCTTCATAAATCTAGAGTAGCCTTTTCTAGAATACTATATACAGGAAAACACATATAGTATTTCCCACCTTTTCATTATTGCAGAAAAGTATACATAATTTACTATTTATCATTTTTTAAAAAGACATTAAATTTAATTAGGAAAAACGTAAAATCTGGTAATTCAAAAATATGACTGCAAATGAAAAACAGATGAGCACAGAACAAATAAGATGTTTTATAAAACCAGGAAATTTTCATTTAAGTCAGTACAAATCAACAAGACAATGTAACCAATGAAGGGGGAAGGTGTTAATGTATTAATCTTCATTAATCCATAAAGGGAAATCTGTAGTGCCACATCTGGAGTATTCATTCAACTTTAAGGCACTCTTTCAGAATACTGATGAACTGGAATGTCCCTTTGTTCTTTTGTTTTTAATTAATATTACTGTGGTAAAAGAAATACAACATAACATTTAGTTTTTAATTATTTAAGTGTACAGTTCAGTGGCATTATATACATTCATGATGTCTGTTGTACAACCATCACCACCATCCATCTCAGACCTCTCTTCATCTCACAAAACTGAAATTACACCTATTAACTCCTGAAAACATGCTACTGACAACCTCTGAAAATCAGCATTCTACATTTGATATCGATAAATACAATCTCAGGTACGTGAAATCATAAATAATTGGTTTTTACAACTGGCTTACTTCACTTAGTATAATGTCCTCAAGGTTCATTTATGTTTTGTAGCATACTACATAATTTCCTTTAACGGTGAATAGTATTTCACAACACAGATACACTACATTTGTTTATCAATTTATCAGATGATGCACACCACAGATACTTTTATATTTATCTACTGTGAATGTCACTATGACTACTGAGTGTATACTATCTCTTCAAGACACTGCTTTCAATTCCATTGGGTTTATACCCACAAGAGAATTTGCTGGAGGGCATGGTAATTCTTTTATTTTCTTGACACACAGTGTTGCTCTGATGCCCAGGTAGGAGTGCAGTAGCGCAATCTTGGCTCACTGCAACCTCCACCTACCAAGTTCAAGCTATTCTCCAGCCTCGGCCTCCTGAAGACCTGGGATTACAGGTGCATGCCACCACATCCAGCTAATTTTTGTAATTTTAATAGAAATGGGATCTCACCATGTGGACTAGGCTGGTCTCAAACTCTTGACCTCAGGTGATCTGCCTGCCTCCACCTCTTAGAGTGCTGGGATTACAGGTGTCAGCCACTGGATCTGGCTGTACTTCTACTTTTAACTTTTTGAGGAACCACCATATTGTTTTCCACAGTGGCTGTGCCATTTTACAATCCCACCAATAGTACACAGGGTTTCAATTCTTTTGCATGCTCACCAGTAATTATTATTATAGTGGTCATTCTAACACATCTAAAATGGTATTTCAATGCAATTGTTGTGCACTGACTTTATGATTAGTAACACTGAACATCTTTATATGTACCTCTTAAGTCATTTGTATGTTTCTTGAAAAAAGGCTTATTCAAATCCTTTGCTCATATTAGTCTGTTTTCATACTGCTATAAAGTACTTAAACTAAATAATTTATAAAGCAAGTAAGTTTGTCTCAGTTATACACAGCTATAAGGAAGCAAGATTAGATAGTATGATACCTGCATTTTCTTATGGAAAAAAAATAGTTGTGTTCAGCATTCAGAAGCTGCAAATAGTTTTAGATGACGTTGGGTTTCTTTTTTGTTTGTTTTGGTAACTGTGTTCATATACAATAAAAAGAAAAGAATAATACACACAAACACACAGCCTTGTAAAACCATTACCTCAATCAAGATGATGAATATATCCAACACTCTCAAAATATTTTCCCCTTTTTAAATTTCTCCATTTAATTTCTCTTCCTATTCTGCCCATCTCTAGCAACCACTTTGTGCCTCTGTCAGGATATTTGCATTTTCTATAATCTTAATACAAATACAGTCATACAATATCGACTTTTTATTTTTTTGAGATTGTGTCTCGCTCTGGTGCTATCTCAGTTCACTGAAATCTCTGCCTTCTGAGTTTTCCTGCCTCAGCCTCCTGAGTAGCTAGGACTACAGGCACGCACCAACGCACCAGCTAAGTTTTTGTATTTTCGTAGAGATGGGATTTCACTATGTTGGCCAGGATAGTCTTGATCTCCTGATCTGCCTGCCCCTGCCTCTGCCTCCCAAAGTGCTGGGATTATAGGCATGAGCCAACTGCACCTGGCCAATATCCATCATTTCTGTGTCTATTTTTTTTTCACTCACCATAATGAATCTGCATTCAACATGTTAGCTGTAGGCTGCTTGCAGATGCCTCTTATTAGATTTTCTTTCATTGTCAGTTTTGCTGATGTTTATCAGCATTACCTATTTTGGCAAATGTTTTGTCTTAAATCTACTGAAGTGATAATGTAAGTTTCCTTTTTAGTTTGTTTAATGCATATTAATTGATTGAAACCAACTAAGCTTTCATGAAATACATTCCACTTAGGCATCAAAGTGTCATCTTTAGAAATATTATTGACTTCAACTTGTAAAATTCTTCTTAGAAACTGTGCATCTAACACCAGAAATGTAATTTGTAGTTTTAGTATTTTAAAATGTTTGTCATAATTTGGTATCAAGCAAAGAAGTTTCTTGATGAATCTTAGTAAAACCTTTATAATTTCATTTTAGATCTTCTTATACCTTTTTTTCTTTATGTCCCTCTCCCATTTTGGGGAAACTAATCAGACCATCTAAAGTTGTCCCCCAGCTCAGTAATAATCTTTTTTTTTTTTTTTTTTAAAAAATCACTTCATCCCTGTGTTTTATAATGAATATATTTAATAAATCTTTTCTTCTGCAGTGTGTTATCAGCTATTAGTCTCAATTTAGCATAGTTTTCTGTTCTTTTTGTGACAGAGTTTTGCTCTTGTTGTCTAAGCTAGAGTACAATGGAGTGCTTTTTGCTCACTGTAACCTCTACCTTCCAGGTTCAAGTGATTCTCCTGCCTCAGCCTCCCCAGTAGCTGAGATTACAGGCATGTACCACCACACTTGGCTAGTTTCTCTATTTTTAGTAGATACAGGGTTTCACCATGTTGGCCAGCCTGGTCTCAAACTCCTGGTCCCAGGTGGCCCAGCAGCCTTAGCCTCCCAAGTGCTGCGATTACAGGCATGAGCCACTGCAACCAGCCTTAGCATATTTTCCATCTCATTTAAGTCTTCATCTCTAGATCTTCATTTTAATCTTGCTTACCTCTTTTTAAACTATGAATATACATTACAAAAACTGATTTCAAAGTTTTTAATCATCTAACATCTGAGTCAGTTCTAGGTCAGGTCCACCCATTTGTTGATTCTGCTTATTGTAGGTCATACGTTCCTACTTCTTTGCATACTTGATCATCTTTGCCTAGATATTCTGGACTTTCCCTTATTCAATACTTGACATTCTATAGCCTTTTAAACTTTCTCTAGCTTGGTTTGAGATATAGTTTGATTTTCCTGTTCACAGTTAAGAAAGTCAGAAACAATGCTTAGTTTAGGAATATTCCCTGGTACTAAACGAGGCTTTTCTAGACACAGTATGCCCTATGAAATAAGTTTTTCTAGTGTGGCTGGGAGGAACGGCCATTTAGCATCTTTCTATAAGAAAAATAGACTGTTCCCTCCAATTCTTTCATGTGTTTCTTTCCTTACCCCAAAGTGTTTCCTGACATACATGCAGTGCTTTGTTCTCTCTTGAATATTCAAGAAGAAATAAAGATTTCCAGAATTAATGGAGCTCTCCAATGCATTATTATAAACCTTAGATGTTTTAGTATCCTTCGATTCACCACAATGTTTCCCCAACTCAGGAATTCCACTGGTCTGACTCAATGTCCCACTCTACACTGTAGTCTAAAAACTTTAGAAGGCAATAACTAAGGTTACTGCAGGGCTGTCATTTGTTTTCTATCTCAATAATATTACTTTTTCGTCTGATGTCTAACATGTTCAAGCTATAGTTTAATGTATTTTACAGCATATTTTTAAAAAATTGTTTCAGCAACGAAGA